GTCTCGTTTCTTTAGAGCTGTCCAGCTCTTTTCACTTTCACTGCATTTAAAAAAATGACATAATCCAAAGAGGATATTCAGATTTTATAGAGGATACACCTTTAAATAAAGGAGCTCCAGCAAGTGAATGAACTCTGCAGCCTTAATCCGTTCAAAGAGGCTGAGAAAAATCGAAATCCTTAAAGTCACTCTTTTGGACTTCCCATGACTCCCCGAAGACAAAAGGCTGCTTGTGCAGACATGGAGTGGATAAAGACCCCGGTGCTTTGCTTCAGTCATCTGGGCGCGGCCCTATAGTGTGATCACACGTTCTCCAGAGGCACAATAAAATAAAATCCATCTAGCCCCCCCACACCACCCCACCCTTCTGGAATTACCCCGAAAAGCTATATGTTTCCCTACCTGGGAAATTAGGGGGTTGTCGAGTTTCACGGCGCAGCGGTAAAGATTTAATCTATCTGCAGAATTTCCCTGTAAGATTAAACTATGAGCAGGTGGCAGCCCGGCTTAATATTTTAATTATAAGGCAGCAAACACGCAGCAGGTTCTCCCAGAGCGGTTTACAGCAGCGGCTGAACACCGTGCAGGAAATAAAAACTCATCAACATGCAGCAGAGACACGTTCATTTGAACCTGAACCCTGCAGCAAATCTCAAATGGAGTCGTAGCAAACTTGCAGGTTTGTTTTGCAAGATTTCAGGGACAATCTAACCCTAATCCTAAACCTAACCAGTTTGTTATCATTCTATCATTATCTCCTCACATATCAAGAAGGTGAGGGGGGAGGCAGGTTAGGAATTCCATGCCTCCTCCTTTGACAAACAGAGGGGGGGAAAAAAAAGGATCTCAAAGTACTCCACAAGGCCACGGCTCATTCATTGAAAAAAGCAATGGAGCAGGAGGAGGTGGGAGGGGGGGCTCAAACAGTCATCCCACATCCCACCCACCCCGTGAAGCATTCCACTGTTCTGTCTGCTCACCCATCATTAAGCAAGACCGCCTGCTGCTAAATCAGAACCCCCATCATGTTCTCAAGAAGCCCGGTTAACCCCATTACCAGCCAACCGGTGCGCCGCTGTTCCAGCCAGCGTTCTGCTGCACCAGAGTCACTCCAGATCAACACAAAAAGGGACTGAGGAATGATCTCTGATGCAGCTGTGGCATGACTCTGCAGAGGCTCGTCAATCCCCCTAAAAAAATAGCCTGAGATACAAAAAAAAGAAGAGAAGAGGAGGAGGGATCAAGGCTGGAGGAAGAAACAGTGCTTTGTTGCTGTTCTCCTTCAGGGCCCCCGAGGGAAAGACTTTGACATCAAGTTATCAAGAGCTGAAACAAAAGCGGCTGATAAACAGAGCAAGACAGATACCATCTCCCTGTGCGCTCAACACGTCTCCATCAACACTGCTTCCTCTCTTCCACCTTCTTTCTTTGTTGATGACAAATTGGAATGAAAATGTCAATAAGTACATTGAAAAAAAAAATGTTTTTATCTGTTGGACCCAGGAAGATCATCCACCCTAAAAAAAATAGCTTGGGGAGAGTTTCTAAAAGGAGTCCTAGTTCTGAATCTGAAAACTCCGAATCGAACAAAGAAGAAAGAAATTTCATTCATTTTGCCTCCCATGGATGTATTTAATGAAATGATGCACAGCTACAGTATATCTGCAGATTAAGATATTTTAGAGTACTGATCTTAAAGGTATAGTGAAGGATTTTTGTGAATTTTAAAAAAGACCCACCCTCTCCACCCAAAAAAATGCATTTGTGCACATGCACAACTCTTTACCCGCTCCTGAGAGGGAACGCCTTTTAAACGCTTGCGAGAGCGTGCACGAGCCCATTTCTCCTCGTGCACGCTCCGTTTCAAATTTTCTGTTTGCATCACTCATACAAGCTTACTTTCCAAAAGAACATTTGCAACTTTTCCACAAGGTCAGACTCCCCTTAGGTAGGTGAAAATGCGGATATCACCCGGAAAGAGAACATCCTCGGCTATACCTTTAAGGACCTACATGAACTTAAAAGGTGTTTGGTTTTTTTCCCACTGTAAGACGGTAGACAAAATTTTTGCTTTGCACGCACTGGTCTGTGTGAAGTCCGCTTCAAGCCCGCGGACTCTTTCGTATACAATCTATGCTTAGAGCATAGACTAAAAGAGTTGCATTATTTTATGTTTACAAGTCTTTCTAGCACATAAAAATGGCCTAATGTAGATACACAGGAAAGACATCTATATCCTCATAATCTTGATAGTGGCAGCTAAAAAGGTGGTTCCCAGAAATAGTTAACATATTCTCCTACATTATGACACGTAAAGCTGAGTGTGTAGTAAAGTCTTGTAAACACTTGTTTAAAGAGTAAACATCGGTGTAAAACAGAGAACCCGCATGCAGACTGAGTGACCATAAAGCTCCCGCCAAGTACAAAAAAACAAGATCTAAAACATGATCCCTGAAGGCAATTATCTTCATGCACCCCTGACCCAAACTAACAAATATTCCCCTCCAAAACAAACATCTCTCAAACTCCGTGAATTCATGTGTAAAAATAAAGATCCTTCTTTTTTGAAACTTTACATCACTCATCTTCACCCCTGAGAGGCTTTCAGCAGCAGTAACGCTCCCACAAAGCCTTTTTTTCTTCCACCTCAGACAATGCACCTCCCCACCTATACTCTGCCAGGCATTCCTGAGTCTATCCTAGCTATCGAAAATGTCAAGAATGAGGACAGAAGCAGAGGAGGGTAGCAATGAGCACTGCGGCAGGTAGAGTCTTGTCCCGCTGAGCGCACTTCCCACAGTCTCCGGGGTTAGTGCCTGCATGGAACGGATGGGATCTGACTTGACTCCCTTAATTAAAACTCTTCACTTGAACAAGCCTGAAAGCTCATTCTCCTCTGGATGAAGGCAGTGGAGCTAATTATCAGGGCTGGTTTCATTCTAAAAACAACAGAAGCCAGAAGATGTATAAAAGGGGACGGGGATGAGAGTAGTCCATAGATATGACTGATTTGATCATCTGTGCATGAGAAGCTCCATAGAACAGATTCAATCTTTTCCACATTTTAACATAAACAGTGTTTGATTACTCTTTAAAATGTTCCTCTGCCAGTAATCCTTCGACTGAAAAATGATATGAGCCAATCAGGCTATGCAAAGCAAAACTCTTTTGGGATACAAAACCTCAAAACAGAAAGAGTACATTTTCGACAGTTTCGTGAAGCCAAAAAATCTCCCTTTTCCCCTGCAGGAGTTTGATGGATAAAAAAAATAGAAGAAGAAGAAAAAGGAGACTGAATAAAAAGGTTAGCCAAGCAGTGCTTCATGCCTGGACAGACCACCAGAAGAAAGTTTTAAGTGTGTGCCAAATGCAACTTAACACTGCAAACAAGCTCCATCTTTTGGAACGTTCCGCTTTCCAGAACCGGGGAAGGGATTTGTACTCTGCACCTCCCTCCACCCCCTCGGTGTGGGGTCTGTAAGTTACATCCGAACGCAGAGCAAAAGCAAAGCTTGTCAAGCATCGGAAAACAGTTGAACAGCAGCAGGTTCAGCGCAGGCCTGTACGGGCACACATCCCGCTACAGTCTGGGAGACTCAAGGCTGATTTATACTCAGAAACCAGGCCGTCTGCGTGTGTCGCAGTGAACGTAAATGTGCCCCCCGTACCTTCCGCCTACACTCTGGTGCACCTCTCTAAAATTGCAGGTGATCGCAGACAGAGCTGCAGACAGGAGGCCTCTGATTGGTCAAATCTACATCCGCTCTACACTATGCGTATTTCCTGTTTGGTACCTTACCGGGTTTATTTTGTTTTTATGACCGCCATGGTGGAAAACGACTCAGACCAGAACGCTGGGACCCTTTTTCCACCTGGATCCTAGGGGTGTAAATAATAATCGTTTTTTAGCGATGCATCGAACCAACAGCCGACGATCCGATGCATCGACACGTCCGCAAGAGTATCAATTCATGTTTTTTTGTCCCTCCGGTCTATTATTCATTTGCTCCAGGACGTAATTCTGACTCCAGTGCTGCGGTGGCGCTAAACCTATTTTTCCCTCCTACCTCGCTTCTTTTAGATACGACCCTTTTTCCTCTTGCAGTATTTTTTGATGCAAGGCCTTTCAGAATCACAGTGGCATTATTATTTTTCAGTGAATAAGGTTTTCATAGGCCTAGGTGGAGTACAACTTTGCTACTTCTGTTATTTGCTGTTGCTTCTCAAATAAAATGCATAAAGATATTACAGCTTTCATTGATTTATTTCAAATGTGAAACATTGTCTAGCCCATAAAGTAAAAAAAAAGTTACCAGTTAATCGAATCGTATCGTACTGTATCTTGGTTTATTCTTCAGTATCGAAAATAATGGAATCGTTGGGTAAGGAAATTGATACTAAATCGAAAGGCCATGGTGGGTGTGATTTACACCCCTACTTGATCCCCACTCTTTTTCATCCTCGTGTCCCTCTGTTGTCGCACAAACTTGGCCCCACTTCCTCACCGTATAGGCCGTATCTAGACCCACAGCTAATTCTTGATTGACTTTCTTGCGTTGTGCCGTGGAATAACATAGCCCAGGCCACGCTTCAATATTGGGCATAAATCAACAATGTCTGCAACACTGCGACACACTTCTGCAGGAATATAACCAGCCCTTCAGTCAGCGCTGAAATTTATTAACTAGGGCTACAGTTTGACTCACAAGAGCCTGGTATGTTAGTCCTCAACCATAAAAAAGAACTGCAAAAACATGAAAGCACTGCAATACTTCATATCCAGAAGCTTGGTTAAGAACAACAACAAAAACACTTTGCATGAACTCAAAACTCCTAAAATCCAGCAACACGGTGGAAATCAGATGCTGACATGAGAAAAAAGGCAGCAGAAAAGGTTTAAAATTAAGCTTTTATCAACGAGAAGTCTTAAATGACTCTGGTGGTTTTATTAGATTAACTTTGAGCGAAACTCAAGCATCATGGTCCATGTGGTTCCTTACCATCGACGCAGTGTTCCACTTCCTCCAGGTTGCGAAGCGTAATCCTCATCAAGCTTGAGTTGAGCATCAGCTCGTTCTTCTGGTCGATGTTGAGAAAAAATATGCGAGTGTCGCCGGTGGCCACCTGGTTGTCACAGATGAGAGAATTCCCAAACCCGCCGATCTTCACTTTGTTGCCTCCGTCGCGAAGGAACTCCTGGCTGATGGTCGACTTCCCTTTTAAGTAACGCCACACTCTGACCTTAAAAAACAAAAAAGAAACAGATAAAAACTGAGACAGTCACATAACTTAGGGAATTTTATAAAACTGATAATAACTAGTTTTTAAACGCAATTATATAACAATGTTGCAGAACTGGCAACACCTTTAATCTGTCTACCAAAATGTGTCTTTTTCCACAGCATCTGACTCCACCAATGTTTTCATCTGATTGACTTATAGACTTTGATAAAACCACTCCAAAAGTTTAACTTCCATTCAATAACACTTCCTTATGTTTATAAGGATGAATAATTTGTTTATTTCTATCTGACAAAGATAATCCCAGACCATAATGCTGCCACCTGCGGATTGCTGTTATTTTAATGCTGCATTTATTTATTTAGATCACAACACATCTATGATCTAAATAAAGGTTTATTCTTGACAAATGAACAATATTTATTCTGACTCTAAAATCATTGCTGTCAAGTTTAAATACGCTGAAAAGCATCCAGAGCAAAGTGAGCTGAATAAACGAGTGAGAACACTGCATTTTCATTGCATTTTTAATGACACAGTAGCTTAGCAGTGAGATAAAAGCTGCAGGGGCGGAGCTATATGGGGGGCTCAGGGTGACCCCATGTGAAGAAGTTCCACTCTTAACCAGAGGGTGGCAACTGTGATACTATAAAGCAGAATGATCCAACTATTTGTACATTTTAATAGCTTGCATATTAGCAATAAACTGACAAGAAATACAGTATTTCATTATTCACATGAATAAACTAACATTAAAAGTAATAATTAAAGAATCCATACACTTTCAAAATACAGAAATATTTTGTCTTTTATGGAAAAGAAGAGAAAATGATGTGTATTTGCAAGTCATCTAGGAATCTTTTATGTAATAAGACATAATTAACAACTAATCCCATTTAATGTGGGTATTAGTAGATGTATTTATTAATATTGTGCAATTATTGGTAAAAGTAGAGTGCCAGAAAATTGGACCAAAAATAACGGTAAAAAAATACCAAAATGTTCTTATTTGTAGATGATCCCTCCTCCTCCGAAAGATATTCTAAATGCACTCTTGTCTATATTGTTTTCTTCTGAGGTCTTCCTCTTCTGAAGCTAGCGGAAACCAAAACTATTAGGATACATAAATACTAAGTGTGCAAGAGTGTTGCAATGGATAAGATGTTCCTCCAAAAGAACATCCACTATACCTTTAATTAAGAAATGTTTAAAAATATGTTTATTTATGAGAAAGGGCTTTAGAAATATCTAGTTTGTCTTTGTCTGGAGAAAACGGATGCTTTGATTCATTATGTTTCTTTTAGTGCAGTGAAGATTGACCCAGAACTGGTTCTGGTACCTATTGACTTTTGGTCCCACCCTTCAGTGCAAATCGGTTCCTAAACTATCCAAAGTAATTTTTTACGATATTCAACAGCAAATGTTATCATAATAACAGAGAAACAGCTAGATTTTCATCAAGAAAAACTGTAAACATAAGTGGCTGATAATCCACTGCAAACATTTAAGCTCATTTTACTGCAGATTAAGCAGAGATTGTTTAGAAGATTTGACTCTCAGAGAAAACTTAATCATGTGATTTTGTTGCTTCTAGTCCAGGTTGAGCCACTATTGATGCATCTACCCTCTGGAGGTGTTAGCAGCTTTCTGCTCACTAAGGCCTTCAGAATAATCACGATATTTTGAACCGTTCTAACCTCTCTACATGCTTCGGATTGGTCTGCTTTTTGACATCAGAATAGGTGCCATCTTGCTGGGTTAGGAACCCTTTTCAGATGCACCCAGCAAAGCATTTACATAAACAAAGTTAACATTTTATTGTAATTTTGTATACACAGAGTGTATACAAAAGGAAATTTCGTTTTGTACAGCTTTTATGACATTTCCATTCCTTAAAGTGCAGCAGTGATCAAATGTAAACAGTGTGGGAAAAAACATGGTGCAAAAAATGCATTGATATGGAAGTTCAGAGCATTTAATATATATGGTGCAATGATGCCGTGTTTTGGTTTGGTGTTGTTAGTGTGATGCAGAGTCTGTGACATGATTTAGAGTTTTCAAAGTGAAGTAAAACTTTAATACAATCAGAATTGTAGGTCGCTTAGTTTTTTAAATAAGTAATAGAATTTGAGCCAGATCCAGTATATCTCAGCAAATGCATTATTGTGTTACATATTGGCCATCTTGTCTCATTTCAGCATTTGGCAGAGGGGTCAGGGTTGCCAGCCAGGAGTGGGCCATGACTAAAAAGTTAGAAGCAGAAGATTAGTCAGATTAATGCGGAGTCTGGGGGTCCTTCCTAAATAAAAGCTTGTATCTTTGAAGATTCGAATAAATGCAACGTCATTTCCATGACGACGAGACATCATACATGCTCAGCGATCTACGAAATCATTCTGCTTTTGATGCTCCAGTATTTTGACTATGAATATAAAATCCTCCAGATGAGTGTCCTAATTGCAACATTAATCTGTGCAATAATCACCTAGAAGCAACTATTGGCAGCTGTATTTGTAATCTAACATTTAGTGAGTGCAGAAAAAAGATGCTCAATCAGAAGGACTTTGACTGCTTTGATGCTTAAACCTAACAGAGGAAATAGCAAGCATTAAATCTAAAATAATTATTCCAAATCTTAGAAGGTTCAACTGTCCGTTTCCCTGTGGGTTTTCTTTCTGATGTTGGTTAAAAAGGTTCATAAACTATTTTCAGCAATGTTTTCCTGCAGCTGCTTCCGAAAGACCGATCCTGGATAAAAGTCTGGGAGTTTTCCAGCTCCCCTCCCTATCCTCTGCAGGGCCATCAGATTGGAGTTTCAATAGATCACGCAAAGCCAAGAAATAAAGGACAAACTAATGGCTACTGGTATAGATTAGATGTAATGATTAATGAATTACACCAATCAGGCATAACATTATGACCACCTGCATGATAGTGTGTTAGTCCCAATTTTGCTACCAAGTCAAACCAGACCTTAGTAAAATATCAAAACAAACAGAAGCATTTAGATTTATCATACCCAGACAGCTATATGATATTTAAATTGAATTGAATAATATAATCAACCTTGCTGAACTATAAGGAGGGCAGAGAATGAAACGAGATCTTGGGCTTCAGCTTCTTGCAATCCTCTCCATACACGATGCACAGTAAATGCAGAAAGCGTCCTCCTTCATGCTTATAACTGAGGAACAGGATAGTATACTTAAGTGTACTGGAGGAAAATTAGCTTATATTAGTCATAACATACCTCTATTCCCAAACTATACAATCACCAGAAAAGTTTCAGCCTCCAGTATTCCCATTTCCTACCATTTCTTCTCAAGGAAAGTTTCCCATCTTGAAATTGCAATTGAAATCTCCCCACAGACATCAGGGATTGGTTTCTATGAAATATTGCACATGGTGGCAAATATTCTAAGGAAGGTCTATCACTGTATACAGCATCCAGAAAGATGACAACATGTAAGGGTCCCAACAGACCATTGACCCTAATAATCGCACCACCTCCTGTAGTGCATCCTGGTGCCAGGGAAGGGCAATGGTAGAGGGTTGTGGGCCCTCAGACCCCCTTTTGGCTGAGTTTCCACTGGGAACCATCTGCAGTACGCTTTGCATTCTCACATCTCTACCAGAACCTGCTATAACTTATCCAGCTTCTCTGTCGGATCTAAACCACTCAAAACCAGCCTTCACTTTTCCAAACGCACCACTGATCTGTTCTTTACATCACTTCTACTGTACTATACGCCAGCGAAGGTTCTCCATCATCCAGGGCATAGTCATTCAGGAAAATACACTTATTTTAAGAAATTTTTACTAATTCTCAGAATGTTTTTACAGAGTGGTGTCCAAGTTTGAGGACATTTTGCTTCCCATCCAGGAGCTTTTTCAATGCAAAATTTCAGGAATAGCGTTGGGTTTGAGGCTTTATACAGTAGCCCAACAAAACAAAACCAAGGCTTTGTTGGGCTATAATATAAAACTTTGAACGCAACACTATTCCTGACATTTCGAATTTGAAAAGTTACCTGGATGGGCCGCAAAACTTCTTCAAATTTGGAAGCCAAATCTAGTGGATTGTTTTTGGAATGACTTCTGCTATATATTTACCCCTGCAGAGCAGAAATGCCTGACTGGAGCTGAAAGTTTTTGGCATAACTATCTGAGCACTATTCCCTCAACCTAACTCAGCCAGGTCCTTATAGTATAACACAAAATAAACCATAATACACTGATATTTATAGGTAGTTAGACATTAATATATAAAAAAGGACAAATATCTGCCGATTCCGATGCCAAAAGCAATTTATCATGCCTCCCTGTTATGCACACAGTTTTAGTTTCATTCATCCATCCAGAAAAATGTGGATTGATTGATTTGGATGTTTTCAGTGAATATCCTCCTTCGAAAGCAGCAAAACCAAATTTAGAAATTTGTCAGAAATCTGAGAAAAAAGCCAGAATTCTAACTTTTTTGTCATATTGTAGTGAGATAAAATGTAAAAATCATTCAACTTTTTATTTTATTTTTTAGTCGCCCTAATCCTCTTCTGTATGCTTGAATAGTAAATCTGCAACTTTTTCCCTAATTCTAGTCTGTGTGCTCACAGAGTGAACTTTCACCACATCTCCTTCCTAGAACGCCACAGCTCTGTGGTGCAGTATCATAAAATAGATCAGGACTTTAAAACATGATCCCTGCAGCTACAGGAAAAAAGGTTGAATCTTCCCAGGCAGTAATGAGAGTGGGTGTTAAGGCTGCATGCAGCTTCCTGTTGCAGAGTGATTGAATGGTTACATGCTCGGTTAGACCTGCCTCAGCTGTATAATTGGTGGGAGGGAATAAAATAAAATAAAATGCATGACTCGTATTTATTCCTGAAGGGAACATATAAGCGCAGGTAACTTTCTGAAGGTGTTTGCTTTGCAGGAAGCGCCTCAGAGAGGCTGCTCCCGGTGCGCAGGTGTCTGTTTCAGACTCTTACCTTGCAGTAATAGGTGTTCAGCACCGGGTTCACGTCGTATATTTCTTCCACGGTTCCGGTCAGGACAACGTTGGCTTCCTCCTCCCTGTCCTCCAGCTCTTTCTCCGGGCAGCTGGCGGCGCAGGGGGGCCACAGGGGCCCCAGGAGGAGCCCCGCCAGGAGCAGCGCTGCCCGGCCGGCCCGGAGTGTCCGCAGCGGAGCCATGAGCGCAACAAGGATCCAAACTGGAGAAAAGTTTACTTTGTTCTTCTTGGATTGAGCCGGAGCGGCCGGTGCGCTCAGGGAGAAACTCCACAGGGGTCTCTGAGGGGAAACGCTGCAGCGGCTCCTCTTGTTTCCAGCGTCTGATTCACCTTGCAGGTCTGCCGGTCGCATCTGGTTCAGTGTCCCTCTCTGTCGCCGCCGGCTGGGAGTCCAGGAGAGGAAGAGGAGGAGGAGGAAGGGGCAGGGATCTTTCTTTCTCTCTCTCTCTCTCTCTCTCTCTCTCTCTCTCCAGGAATGCAGCTCTCCCTCTGCTTTCCTTTTTTCTCCCACACACACTCACTCTGTCACACACTTCCTGAGGATTTCCATGCAATCTGAATTGTTAGTGAGGTGAGGAGGGTGATGATGGTGGGATGCCAGCTCACAGTGACTATCCAACGCCGCCCCCACTCGGGCAGACAGTGTGTTTACCTTTAATCACTAATCACAGTGATTAAAGGGAAAGACCCCCCCACCATGAGCCCACCACCACCATGTCTACACATGACTTCCAGGATGCAACCTCTGTTTTAATTTTTGTTTTTTTCAATGTGGATGTTTTTCACTATATAGTGGAAGATGGGTACAGTTTTTTTTTTTGTTTGTTTTTTGCAGAGTTTGTTTTGCAGCAATTAGGTTCTGATGTCAGCCTCTGGTCAGTATGGAGTTTTCTGGTCCCAGGACATGTGGACAAGCAACATGGGTTGCTTTGTCCTCAAGGCACCATGGGGGGTAGGACAGCATGCCTGTGGGGGTGTCTTGTTATACTCTCTTAAAGAGAGAGGGGTTTGCAGTACTTGGAGAAGAGAGTCCTCATGGCCAACTGTGGAGCAAACCTGCATCATCTACCCTGATGAACATGGTTAAGATAAAACATGGACATTGGTCCTCAGTGTCCAAAATTATTATCATGGCTTATGGCCCAATACTTTCAGGAGGAACCCCCGAGCAGTGGCTCTAATCTTCCAGGATTTAAAGCACATCGGTTGAGCATTAGGGTTACTTTTCACAACTATTGTGAATCACGAACAAAATATTGTCAAAAAGCAGTTTTGTTTTATGCTGTTTTCAGTAATGCCCAAAAATTTTGAAATGCTCTGTAATGTGTTTTAAAAATAGAGTTAGAGGTTTCTGCCTTTTTTCCTTCGCTATCTTAATTAAAGAATTCAGTTCAGTGTTGAACTTAGTTTAATATATTCAATGTGGTCCAGAGACCTTAAAAAACTCTTAAATGGCTCTTTAACTCGAGTGAGATAACCCAGATTTGAAAGTGGCAGATCCTAACGAGGACAGCAGGTAAGAGAGGAGCCAAGATGTCTGAGAACAAAGCAAACCTCCGGCACTTTAAAAATGTCTGATTTTTAAAATACTTTGCTCTGAATTAATTACATTTTATAAACCTTTAAACAGGCAGCCTGTGCTTTTATAATAACAGGAATCAGTGGTTGGAGGCAGTGTTCCCCCAATCAAGTTTCTATAGTGAACAAAAAGTGAGAAATTACCTGACTAGGTAAGTTTGAGATTCTACTCCATCAAAAAGTATTCAATGAAAACACAACAGTAATTCCACATATTCCACGTTAGAAGCCTTGTTTAGTCTTGGACCTTCAAGCCTCTGGGTGCAACATTTGGTTGCTGATGTTATTGCTTATTCTGCTCCTCGACAAAATGAAGCTCTGGGCAGGGAGCCATATCCCCTTTATAAAAGAAAACAAACACTTATTGCTATTTCCCTACAAGGAGCTAGACTTTCCTAATCTTTTAAAGGGTTTCCAATCAATTTTTTTCAGACTCTAAAGGTCTTTCGTATGTTATTTCCTATTTTCATACTAAAATTTTATACTAATTTTTTTGGTACAAAAAAATCTCCAGATCTCACACTTTAAACACACCATTCCTTAATTAAATAAACTACTGTATACCGAGTTTCCAATTAAAACCTTCTTAGAGTTGCTTATGTATTGCTGCTGTTGTTTAAATACTATTCTAAATGTTTATTTAATTGAGACAGCTAGAGCCAAAGGGATCCAGTCAATGGATCTCTGATATTACATTTTGGTCATCTACCAGATTTAGCCGTTGTTTTCTCTCTAAAGGTGTCCCTGGTTACTCTAGTTGTAAAATCTGTCCCTAAAACAGACATTGAAAAGGTGAAAAGCATTAAAAAAAATTAAAAGACACTTTAAAAATCCTAAGAACCACTCAGAAATATCTGTTTAAAGAAAATGCATAAAGCAGCAAGAGATAAGCCCAGGTTCGGACCGGTAATCTGTGATACCAGTCGTTTGTCCAGTGGGCCGGTCTTAATTTCAGCATGCAAGGACCGGCCCTCCTTAAATCATACCGGCCCCAACACTTACTCTCTGGCCGAAGCTCCTAACTGTGACAGTAACTTAAGGAGCTCAAGAAATAATACAATCTTAACTATCCTAATGATGCATAGAGTATATAAAGCCCTGCCTTGTCATGCACATCCTTGTGACGGTTGGCATATGGTGTAATTTTCCATTTCTTCAACGGTAAAATCCTTGCAACAAACTAAATAATAATAAAACTAAATGCTTTCTTTAAACCAAGCTACAATGTTACTCTTATAGTTGACGAATTTATGTTTGAATATTTTGCAAAAATACATTGCGGTGCATGATGGGGTTTTGCATCTGTTTACATTATTCCATTTCATTGCCCACATGCCACCAAGATTTGCAGTGAATGCGTGCACACCACTGAGCTTTCATGTAATCATTCTTGAAGAACTGCCTGTCTGCCTCTATATTGTATTGTTTTATTTTGGTGTTTTTACAACACTCAGGCTTAAGTTGTAGACCTAGTTTGTGTGAGTGGGTCCATAAGTGGGCCGGTGCAGATGAAAAAATGCAGGCCGAAAATCGTTCCCAGTCTGAGCCTGCTCAAGAATTTAAAGTGCTTTATCCTTTAAAATATTTTGAAGTTGTCTATAATACTATATCTATTGCAAATCTGGTTTGATGCATCAGAAAATAATTAGTGGTATTGTCCTACTGTACCTGCTGTTACAGCAATAAGTGTTAATCTGTGACGTCATCCTGGAGAGAAACATCAGCTGTGCTGCTTCCATCAACACCCTTGTTTATAGATG